GAGGACTACCCAACCGGTCGTAAGTCGAGGACTTTCCCTGCCCGGGAGCGCCGCGCATGCGTGGTTCCGCCCCCTGCGCCGGCCGAGGCGTAGCTGGCAAGCGGCAGAGACGGAGCAGGCCGACCACCAGCTGGCCCAGCCCAAGGGAGGTAAGGCACCCGCCGGAAAAGGGGGAAAAAATGGCAGACAAAAAAAATGGACAAAAAAAATGGCGGACAGCCTTGCTTGGCGACCCCCGTGAAATGGTCGATCGACCCCAAATGGGGTCCCGACCCACAGGTTGAGAACCACTGGTTTAGGACAAGCAGAGGTGATTAGGTGAAAGCAGTGAATGACACAACAGGAAACAAGAACAAGGAATACTACAAAGAGAAGACCAATGAATAATTCCCTAAACCATCCCCATCCTGGGAGCCAACTGGTAAGAAATGAGAATATACCATTGAAGACCCCCCCCCATACAGTATCAGTAAAAATCTTCAGATCTTTAGGGTAATTCTTAATTCCTTCCTCCATGAGATGGATGGTGTGATTAATATTAACTTGATAATCAGTTATAAAAGTGCAGCAATGTGAGTGAACTAAAGCGCACACCCCACCTTCTGCAGCCAGTACCATATCCAATGCTTGGCGATTCTGTACCCCTACCTCCCGTATCTCTCCCTGTTCCTTATTGAGTTGTGTAAATGCCAGTATGGTGTGGTTAAACATTTCCTCTGTCCAGTCACCTAATTCTATAATAGAATTATAAATCAAACCAACTCCTATAGCTGGAATTAATGCTCGTGCAATGGCATTTCCCAGGCCATGAGGTACAGGATGGTGTTCAATATGTTCTTCATGCTCAAGGTGGCCCTCGTCCCGCCGATTGCGAATGCGGAAGTTCCAATCATTATGTTGGATAATACGACCAGAGGGAAAAATAAGTCCGGGTCAACAAAAATACAAGTGGCTGCAACAACCAGCGGTAGAATAGATACATTGCATGTAAAAAAATACAAATTTTTCATAATTCAAAAGCAATGAAAAATGGCTTCCTGCCATACTGTATTTAGTTTTCAGCACTTCCGATAAAAGTTATTTTGCTAGAGTTCACTAATTACAAATTTATTGACTGAATTTACTTTAAAATGCGCTTGTTACAGATGGACTTACAAGGTGCTGAAACACGAGGAACACAGGCTTTGTTGTTCTTAATGCAATAACTGCCACATCCATATAATGAAAAGGCAAGAACAGCCAGTTGAATATTCATCATGGTTGACAACCCTGACTAGTTATGCTCCCGTGTGCCTTTAAAAGGGTACAAGTTGGGACAACTTCTAGAGTTCCCAGCAAAATTTTTATTTCCTAGAATTGTCATCCTAGTTGATCCGGAGAAAATCACATTGGGAAAAGCTTGGCTAGGTTCACACGCAGACATACATGGTTTATGTGTTCATGATTTAATGAATTGATACAATGCATGATATTGAATGATAATTTAAAACACACTAAGGCAGTGGCCCCCAACCTATTGGACACCAGGGACTGGTTCTGTGGGGAGAGGTCTTTCCGCCGACTGGAGCGGGTGTGGTTTCAAGGGTTGGGGGACCTTGCACCAAGGTAAAATGTGACTGCTTTGTGACAAATTCAACCAAGGGGACTTACTTGCAAGTGAATTTAAATAGGTAAGCTAGTAGCAGCTTTGTGTACATAATTGATATTTCAAAAGAATGTACCTGTTACTCCGTAACTGTAGACCTCATCCTAGCAAGCTGAAATAATTGGCTGGGATCTGAAGTGCTAGAATTATATAACTGAGACATATTCTGCAAATTCAACATAAAGTTTCAAGTTTATAAGTTTTATATAAGTGAAGGACTTCCACTTTGCCGACGCGGCCGCTGGAAGGCAAGCTTCGTCTTCCACGTCTGATTTTGCATCGCTAGGGGACCCTGGAAAGGGTTGACAGTCACCCTGTAGGGGCAACAAGCAAGGAGGGGACCCCCGCTTGATCGCGGGAGGGTGGTAGCCCTTCCGTTCGATCCGGGGCAGCCCTCCAAACCGGCGGACAAAAGACCAGCCATAAAAATATGGCCCGTCACTAGGCTGCAGACAGCCGAAGTCAAACTTACCACCAGGCACCTATAAAGCAGCGTGGATTAATAATAATAATAATAATAATAATAATAATAATAATAATAATAATAATAATAATAACAACAACAACAACAACAACAATAATCTTAAACGGTATGTGGCTAAACCTGATAGTACAACTTCTTATTGCCTAAAGGAAACTTGGCTTGAAGCCCAGAATATAGATAAGACTTTTGCAACCTTGGTAGATATCAGCTGTGAGAAGCCCAGCTGTGTTCTATATTCAGTGACAAAATTATTTTCATTCTCTAATTGTAAAGCTTTTAATTTAACACACCACTACAAGAACATGGATTAAGATCAGGAACAGATTCTCTTTATGTTGAAAGCAATTTATGAAACTATTCTTACAGCTTCTGATGAAATAAGAAGCTGCAGAAAAAAAACAAGATGTCAGCCTAGATATACAAACCCAAACTTTGATTACAACTAAAGAATCAACTACACAGAATATAATAGAAGAAGTGGAACAATCAAATACTATGATAGAAGACCCAACTGATCAACAAATAAGTTAATAGAAAACCCAGAAAAGGGACTGACAACACTGAAAATGGAAAAGACTCTCTATATAAACCAGAAGAAACCTAAGGATCAAGAAGAACAGACTGAAGGGAAGATAAACATTTCAGGACAACTACATCGAGATGGAAAAATAGAGAGACAATTTGTTAGCCCTTCCAAAAAAATGGCGACTAGATGGCCTCTTTTATCTCAAACAATATATATAATAACAGAAGGAGATCTATTTGATGACTTAAAAGCACAGATATGGAAGGCGAGTTTGCAAAGAAAGCTACAATAAAGCTGAAGAAAATTGGGGTTTTGACTTAATAGTGAGGATCAAAATAGAATATATTCAAATAGACAAGATGTGTACTTTGAATACTAGATTTTGTTATAAACTGAGATAAAGAAAACTTTGGTCATTTAAAACTTGGAAGTATAAATATTAAAAGTTAAATCTGAATATTGATTATAAAGGTTGAATGTAAGATATAATGTAATTAAGATATATATAAGCTAAAATGTATTGATAAATGTAATAAACATGTTTTTATTTAGCTGATATAATAAGAACTGTACTAGCTTAAATATGAGATAGTAGACATTAAGAGAAAAAGAGAGGAAGTATTTGATGTTGAAACAAGAGAAATTTTGGTTACTAAATTCAAGACGTTTGGAAATTAATAGAAAATAAGAATGTTATACTGTATTATTAATTAGATTATGTAAGATGGTGAGAAATAGAATATATTTAAATAGATAAGACGTGTATCCTGAATATTAGACTTTGTGATGAACTGTGATAGGGAACTTTGGTTACTTAAAACTTGGAAATTATAAACATTAAATGTTAAATTTAAATATTAATGGGAAACTAAAAATGGGGAGAAACTAATTAGGACATTGATTGTCTATAAAGAATGTTAAAATAACCAGGATATATATAAGCTAAAAATTATTGATAAATGTAAGAATGTTATTTTTATTTAATTGATATAATAAGAATTGTATTACTTTAAACATGTGAAAGTAAATACCAAGGGGAAAAGAGAAGAAATATTTAATGTGGTAGTTAGAGACTTGTACGAAAGATACTTGTATGTCAGTGAATTATCGATTAACTCAGCCGCCATGTTGCTTTTTAAATACTTAAATGTAAAATTAGAAAATCAATAAAACATTAAAAAATATAAAGTTTTATATAAGTGAATACTTCTATAGTAGTAAAATCATCTAAAATCTGTTCTTCAATTTGAATTTTGCAATTTGAAACACAAATTTGTAAGACTGTTCTCTTTTAAAACTATTCAAATAAAATAACATACCCTTTTGATCTTTGGCTTCTTCTCCGTAGAATCAGCATGGGATTTAGTCCAGAAAAAGCCAACAAATGGCAAGGCAGCAAGAAAATTGGAAAACATTCCACAATGAGGCTGCTGCTTATTCTGCGGTTGGGGTCCCCATGATCGGTACCAGTAAGAGAGCATCAAGCCAAGAGAAAAAAACACCAGCGTGGAAATGAGCATCTCCTTGTTGGCATAACTTAGCAAATCTCCACATTTTTTGTAGACATAGATAAAGGAAGCAATGCCCAGAAAAGTCCACATTGTGAGTGCTCTGTTTTTATATGTCCAAAGATATACAAAATTGTTTAAAGATTTTATAAAGACAAAAAAGACATGTATAAGAAAGCTTATACAGAGTCAAAGCAATCAGGAAACTTCAAGGCGTTTGTAGGAGCACTGTATTTCACGAAGAACCATTTTGTCACACAAAGCTTGTCCTACTCCACTTGGGATTGCTAGCCACAATCTAAACTATATATGTAACAATATACTGTACAAAACTACAATATGCCATTCAGGGCACAGGTTTCCAACATTTGTTTTAGCAGAGGCTATGGAGAATACTGTCAAATACAGTTTTTCACGCTTGCTTAAGAATAAAGAAGGTTCTTGTTACATTTCAGAAATCGAAGGATAGTTTGAGCAAACATAGCTTTCAAGGACCACTAGTTTGCTTTAATAAGAACACTTGTAGGTGTTTATTGCACAACACAAATATAAGCTCGAAACTTCTCCTGCCACGTTCTCTCTCAAAATGCCTTCGTCTGTGTCCATAAACTGCAGTAATGTAAAGCTCATTCACCTTATCCTAATTGTTTTTCTGTACCACACATTTGATTCAAAATTCCTTTTTGGTCAGAAAAAAAATATCTAATATCTAAGTGCAGATACTCTGTCAAAACAATGGATGTACCTTGAGAACGGTACCACTTATTTCTTACTGTTGAACAGTCTGTAGGGCTGGGCCAGTATATATATATATATATAAATTTATATATATATATATAAATTTTAGGGCACTTGACCCTTCATCCACCAAGAGTGGCAGCTAAAATAACCTGCCTGTCCCTGTTGGGTGTTTAAGGAAGTAAAACATCCAGTCAAGCCAGTATGAGAAAAATGCTGCAGTCCATCATGGTGGGTTTTTCCCCCTTCTTCTTTCAAAATATTTTACAAGATCCTGAAACAAAAAACAGAGATTTAATTTAAAAAAAAAACAAAGAACAGCTGTCATTCAAACCGGGTGAGGCCAATCCTCTGGCCCAGATGGAAAGCATCAGCTTATATTCCATCAGTCTCCCCCTGGGCTGGTCCCATCCAGGTTCCTGACCATGAGGGCTGGGGATGATGGAAAAGTAGTTCAAAGCTGAACGGGGGGGGGGGGAGCAAGCCCGGCATTTATAGGAATGGGTAGGAAGCAAGCCCGCACTTGACCCAGCCAGGCAGAGGCTTTAAAATACCTACATCTAATAGCCGAAGACTGAGGGAGAAGATGGGATGGGATGGGGGGGTTTCCTCACACACACCCCGCCTCGTCTCCGATTCGGCCCCAAAGGCCAAAGGGGACAAGCAGAAAAGGCGACTCGCGTCTTCTTTCCGTTGCTCGAGGTTGCGCCCCTTTTTCTCTCACGCCCCCCCCCACCCCACCCTCAAACGGGAGGAGAAGCTCTGGGTCCCCGCGTCAGGGCTCGTCTTCCTCCGGGACGACCCAACGCTGCTGCTTGTCTCGAAGCCGCCGGGCTCGCTCCGGCTCCCGCCACCTCCGCGCCGAAGGTGCGAACGGGCGGCCGAGGATGCTTCCAGGAGAAGCCGGCGAGGCGCGCTCTGAGGCGACGGGAAAGGCGGGGCAGCGCGGAGGCCATATGAGAAGGGGGAAGGGTTTATGCTAATGACTCGCGCCTTTTCCAAGCCCCTCTGGCACGCCGCGCTGCACGCGGCTCAGCCCCAGCTGGCCAATCGGTGGCGCTAGGCCGAGATGGCCTCATGAAGCTCGGGCCAATCGGAAGGGGAAAGAGGCGGGGTTAACCGGTCCACAGGAGCCTAGTGCGATGTGACGTTGAGCGCGCGAGCGAGGATTACTCGTCGTCATAGGGACAAAGAGTCGCGCACGGCATCCCCCTCGCGTGCGGACAGTGAAATCCCTCAAAAGAGCTCGACTTTCAAGGGGGTGGGGGTGGGTGGGAATGCGCTCCTCCGAGAACCGCCTCAGGATATTTCGGAATTTCTTAAAGATGTCATCCCCCGATATCATCGCAGAGCAGTGTTTCTCAACCTTGGCAGCCTGAAGATGGGTGGACTTCAGCTCCCAGAATTCCCCAGCCGGCATGGCTGGTTGAGGAATTCTGGGAGTTGAAGTCCACTCATCTTCAAACTGTCAAGGCTGAGAAACACTGTTGTAGAGGAACTGGGGGGGGGGGGAGAGGCAAGAGAGAATCAGTGTTTTGAAGGATATATGGACTGAAGCCATTCTCGAAAACTAGGCTCCTGAATATGTGAGGAAAACCTTTTCCCCACACACACACACACACACACACAACGTTATTCCAGAGAAAGGGGAAGATGACCGCCACTGCCACAGCGAGGATTGACTTCACGCACAAGGAGACTCGCTCGGGAGAATTAAACGAGGGGGGGGAGAAAAAAAACACCCCAGTTTAAGTTCCACCAATCAACTCCGCCGAAGGGTTCCAAGTCCCGCCAATCACGAGCGCGGGCGGTGGTGACGCCACTATCGGCCGTTCTCTGTGTCTGGACCAGGTCGGGCCGTGGTTCCCATGGCGACCGCGGTGCGCTTGGAGCTGGGCCGCTTGGTTCAGGAGGCCGCGGCCCTTGCGGGGGTGGTCCGCGGGTCTCTCGGCCCCCACGGAGGACAGGTTCTGCTCACCCGCCCCACGGGAGAGGTCCTGCTTTCCCGAGACGGACGGCGTGTGCTGGAGGCCCTGAATGTGGACTCGCCGACGGCCAGGTAGCCGCTTTCGGGTCGAACTTGTGGCCTTGGTCGCTTTGCGGCCTGCGGGGGAGCGGAAAGGCTGGCCTGGGGCTTGGCTGATCAGACAACGGGAACAAGAGACGGCGAGGCTTAAATAATAATAATAATAATAATAATAATAATAATAATAATAATAATAATAATAAAGTTGGAAGGGACCTTGGAGGTCATCTAGTCCAACCCCCTGCTCAGGCAGGAAACCCTACACCATTTCGGACAGATGGCTGTCCAGTCTCTTCTTAAAAACTTCCAGTGTTGGCGCATTCACCGCTTCTGGAGGCAGGTTGTTCCACTGGTTAATTGTTCTAACTGTTGCTTCTCTCCTTGATTAGTTTCCACCCGTTGCTTCTCGTCCTGCCTTCAGGCACTTTGGAGAATAGCTTGACTCTCTCTTCTTTGTGGCAGCCCCTGAGATATTGGAACACTGCTATCATGTCCACCCTCATCCTTCTCTTCTTTAAACTAGACACACCCAATTCCAGCAACCGTTATTTTTATTGGTTTTCCAGTTCCATTGATAGATCGTCTAATCCTGAAGCTAGCGGTCTCATCCGAAAATAGAATACAATATTATAAGACCCGCAAAGAAAATAAAACCCCAAACGTGCATAAAAATATCAAAATCAACAATTACAAAATCGGGATCAAAGCCATTTAGTACAAAAGCCATGCAGTGGTGAACCTCACCTTCATAGGATGTCACCTTCCAGGAAGGCTTTGTCGGATTTCCCAAAGCTCCGGAGGATTAGGAAAGATCTGATATTGAGATATATTTGAATATTAGTACTGTAACTCAGGTTGGTAGTTAGGCTGTTGATTGGATCTCTGAGCTGGGCGAACGAGTTTAGGCTGTTGATTTGATCTCTGAGCTTGGCGAACGTTTGCAGCCAAATCGCCAAGCTCGGAGATCAACCAACAGCTTAAGATCTGATTTTTTCAGGAAGGGAGTTGGAAAGTGTGGGGCATGGCTGGCTCAGGAATTCTGGGAGTTGAAGTCCAAGAGTCATAAAAGAGCCAAGGTTGCCTACCCCTGACCTAGGGCCATCGGAGTGAAACTTGCTATCTTGAATCATGCCTGGAAGCCATGATTCAGCCAGTGGAAGATCCCAGGTATCTCCCTTCACTGCTTGGGCTGCTGCATTCTGCACTACTACCTCCAAATGTTCTTCATGGACAACTCTATATAAAGCGCACTGCCGTAAACCAATTGGGAAATGATTAGGGTGTGAGAGATTGTGAGCAAGGCTTTCCAATCCAAGAATGGCCAGCATCGGCATACTACATGCAACTGCAAAAGCCTTCCTTGCAAGACTTGCCATCTCATCAAGCAACAGCTGAATTTGGGAGGCGATAGTCCCTCCTTTGAGTGTAACTGCTACCTTCAAGGAGGAGAAGAGCATCTGTAAGACCATGTCCCCCATTCTAATCCATCAGAGATGGTCCAGAAGGATACTAAGCCCAGTGGCATTGAAAGTGGAGCAGGAAAATTGTTCTTCCCTCATCCTGCTTTGAAATGTGTAGCACCTGAAGGTCATGTAGGTGCCAAGCCCTTGTTTCCCCCTACACTTCGTATCACAAACCATGATTTATAAATGATTATAGTTAAGCCAAAACCAGATAAATCATTTTTGCAGTATTGTTATTTTAGTTTCAGCTGAGTTCTGGACCATTAGCTAACCACATTTTATCCTCTCCTGTGATGCAAACCTGGGATTAGATTATGTCTCGTGCCATGCAAATGAAATGTTTGCCTATTAATTGAATCTGCTTCTTTGACAGTCACATAGGGATCATTTTTAGTATGCAACCCAAGTATATATTAAAGTACACTATATTTATATTCCTTATGAAACTTATTTTTATGTGATTGAACGTGGTTAATGAAGCAGCTTCAAATAAGATTATGCCATGCAAACCTAGAAAGTTTGGCTGAATAAACTGATTAAGTGAATCACGGTAAATATGCTCTGTGAGCTAGGAGTTCATATTTAGTGTCTTGTTTGAGCATCATTCATTTTACACTGTTCCTGTGCTGCTCCAATCATAAAATAAATACAAAGCCATACACTCATACAATCACAATAGTAAAATAGGATTAATAAATCTAGCTAGTAATATATTTATTTCTTTTATTTATTTATACTCCATATTTGTTAAGCGCCCTTTCCCTTGGAAGCAATCCCTTGAAAGGATCGCTTTCCACTGATGAGAAAAGAATATTTTCAATAAATAAATGCTTTCTGTTTTTATATTCTTTATTAATAGAAGAGAATATATGTAGTTCAAAGCTGAATCGCCAGCAGTAATGATGTTATCTAGTTGGGCAATAAAAGTCTGCGAATAATCAACAAGCTCTGAGCACCAAGGACTTCACAATTCTTTATTAAATTTTTATGTTTACCCCTCCTGGGGAGATATTTAGATCTAACATACATTATTCTGCCTCCAAAGACAAGGAAAGATGGAAATAGATCACTGTATGGTAAAAGAGCCACTGAGCAATATAACATGCACTCACACAAACTAATCTTTCCTGCTCAAAAGCAGGAATGGACAAGTTGTCACACAAGACCCAGCTCCAAAGATTGAGCTGACAGGAAAGTAATTTCACCATCTCTACTTACAAGGCAGAACTTGGACTTCTTCTCTCATAGAGGAAGCTTAATATGAGCTGTAACTACTACCTATAATTTCAGGCTTGCCTGAGGCAAAAATTACAAAAGCTTGCTATTTTTTTCTTTATCATCTTTTTTAACTAAAGCAAAATACTCCAAATGTATGTGTGTATGAATTTATTTATTTATTAAATTTATATGCTTTCTCACTATTGAGCAACTGGGCTAATATAGAAAATACTTTCTTAACACAGCGTGATACTACCAGTATATAGTATTATGTATTTATTTTCTTAATATAAATTATAGCACACTTAATTCTATAGGACAGACATGTCAAACACAAGGCCCGGAGGCCAGATGCGGCCCGTGAGGTGGTTTCATGTGGCCCACGAAGCCATCCTGGAAACAGTGAGGGAATGGCCCCCACTGCCTTGGCCTGGCCCAGGCCGGCCGGGAGCCAATGTACAATTTTGTGGTGGCCATCTATGCTGAAACGCATTCAGTCTTAGCTCCACAAGGCCGTCTGGAAACAGCGAAGAACCAGCCCCTGCCGTGTCGGCCCTGCTCCCTGGGTGCATGCTGGGGAGGTGTCACCCTTTGTGAGGAATGAAGAAATGCACCATCGCCTGGAAGTGGCCAGCAAATGGCCCTCGCCTACTTCACATATCTGGCTTGATGGGCTCCGGCGGAGGGGTTTTAGCAGGCAGTGAAGCTCCTCCAGTGGACCATGCCTTGGCACTTGCCCCGGTCCCACCCTCTTCTGCCAGAGACCCTCAGATCTGTCCCACTCCTGCCCAGGCCCCCACAGGCACCCTTGATGCGAACGATGTAGAACTGGCCATGCCCACCCAACAGGCCACACCCACTCCATCCACACCCACACAGTAGGCCACACCCACCCTGGCCACACTCACCCGCCCCCCCCCCGAGGGCAACCACAATGCTGATGCGGCCATCAATGAAATTTGAGTTTGACATCCCTGCTATACGGCTTTAGGTAATATGGAAATATTAATAACAGAAATTAATGTGTTATAGTAAAAAACAACTCATTTACCACATTAGCATTTTTGAAGCTATTCAAAGACTTGGAAATGCCTGCAACTGGAACATGAGTTAAAGCTGGACAAAAACCCTCTTGTACATTAGATTGAGGACCTCGCAGTATTGGCATTGATGCTCTCATTTCTTCCTATCAGAACAGAGGTAAACACCCTTTGGGCTGCATATATTGCTTAACTAAAGCAATCTAGGAAATCATGTTTTCCAAGGAATGCTAATAATTGTTGCCAAATATTTGATTCCCTGCTATTTTTCCAATCCCTCCCTGCTATTTTGAATGAAATCTTGTATTTAAATTCTCATTTAATTATTCAACAATTCCCCAAGATCTGTTTTTCTGCTTAGTCTCTGCTGGTTCCAAACTAATCAATCTTTTCAAAGACAGATATGCTTAGAAGGGATTAATTTCAGTTTGAAATCATGAAATCATAGCATGAAGATTCATATGTAAACAAGATAATTGTGTTTAGCAATCTTTTATAGATACATGTGGGTCTTGTCAAGAACTCTCTTTTGGGGTGGAAATTGGAGAGTTTTAGATACTTCAGATGTTTGAAATAAAGTTTTTTAAGTTAACAATTGGTTTCTTCTTTGGTTTTAACAGAATTATGATAGCATGTATTTCTACACACTGCAATTTATTTGGAGATGGCGCTAAAACATTTATCATTCTGCTCTCTGATTTACTACGACAATTTGAAAAACTTAATAAAAGAGATCAAGGAAAAGACTGCAGTTTGAAACACATTTCTCAGTTTCTTGTGAAGATTCAAACAAACATCCTGGACCATATAATGACATGGGACCTTAAGAAACATTTTCAGTCAATCTTTTCTGCTTCTGATTCAGATGTAAGACGAAATATGGAGTTAATGTTAGAACCTTATTTTTGTGGGAAAGTAGGAACTAATAGACAAAAGCTCCTAACTCATTTGGCATGTGATTTCTACTTCAAAGTTACAGCTGGTAAAAAGCAGAATGAGGCATTATACTTGGTGAATGAACGTTTTGCAGAACTGCATACCACTGTGACAGGCCTTCCTTTTTCAGATTCCAGGATCCTAGATGGCTTACTGCTTCACAGAGACTTTGCAGTATACTGTCCTGCAGATGGTGACAAAAGAATTATAATAATAACAGAACCTATTCATTCCTCTGTATCTGAGTTGGGTATAGAAGTTGTCATAACTGCGGAAGGTCAATTCAAGGCATCAGAAACCTGGATTACAAAAAGAACCGAAGCTCTTCTACAGCACTTGCAAGACAATGACATCAAAGTAATACTGTCAGGTGTAAAACAGCATGCTATTGTTCATCGCTGTGCAAAAAATAATGGCATATCTATTGTAGATTGCGTGTTGATGGAGGAAATCTCTCTTATTTGCAAGATTACTGGAATTTCACCTTTCAAACCATCTTTGGATGACATTAAGAGTGAAATCACTCAAACAGCTGTAGCAAAATTTTGCCAGCCCTTCCACCTTGGGACCAAAAGATTTGTTCACATTGGCTTTGGGAAAACCTCTACCATCCAGCTTCATTGTGTGATTCTCTGTGGACCAGTACATGGAGTTACGGAGCAACACGCGTCTGCTTTTCGTGAAGCATTCAAAATGCTACAACAAATGTTTACAGCAATTCATCTGTCTCAGCACTGTGACTCAGAACTGGAAAATCACTGTCTTTTGAATGGTCGAAATAAAACTCAGGAACGTTTATCTCCCCATCAGCCGTTATTCCAGGAACGCAATGATTGGAGAGAACTTCAAACCAATACCAAGCACCTTACAGCTTGTGGGCTTAAAATGGAGAAACGCTCTGCATCTTTTTCTGTGGGAGATGAAAAGTTACTCCATTCATCGTCCAGTTATAATTCTTCGAGCATAGTCACGCCTTCTGTTGATGTGATGCATGGTACTAAGCGCTCATTATTCCAGAAAAAGGATGATGAGTTAATTGGCTGTCGAGCGACTTCTTTAAAACAGACGTTTCAAAAAGAAAGGTTGCAAATGACTGAGACCGAACCTCTTGAAGATAATCAGCCTGCTTATAATACAGTTGATAAAAATGTACAGCTGCAAGCTGGTACAGTCAGTTGTGCCAGGCTTCTTAAATATGATGGGAACGATAAAAGGGGTAATCAGAATGATTCTGACTCTTACATAGAACCGGGAGCAGTTTTGCCAGTAGGAGGGCTCTTTGAAATTCTGTTGCATTACTATCTATCTAACTACGCAAAACAATGCCGGTCATCAATTACATCCATCATTTGTTCTGTAATTGCTGATGTATTGCTAAGTATTCCAAAAACACTCTGCCTGACACAAAAAAGGAATGCCTTTCCTCAGCTCTGTCTTCAAGTTACCAGTGCCCTCAAAAGCAATCAGCAGCTTCTGCCAGATCAAAAGCTTCTAGAATCAGTTTCTTGTAAGTACCACTTAGTAGCTTCTGTGCTTCAGTGTGCAGCACAGTTGCTTAGTGTTGATCTAATTATTAGCATTAAAAGGCTACCACAGAAGGCTGAAGAGAGCGACTCAGAAGTCGATGGGTAAAAGCAGATTCCTCGTATCCTGGAGGGAATCTCATTCGTCTTGTCTGATTACTTTTCTTCTTTTCTCCCCTAATTCTTCGTGAAAGGACCCCCAAAGGAGAGGAAAGAGAAATACTATAACCATATTATTCTTCCTTATTCAGATTTCTGATTACTAATAAGGACTTCCAAATACTTGGCTTTTGCAAGAACTATCCCCAAGTTTATTTACATTGCCTCAAATTTCATGCAGTATAGATCAAAATCAAATTTGAACTGAGGGGCATTAGATACTCACACTAGTATCAGTGATAGACAAAAGATGTCCTTACCTTTACACACTGAGAGAATGCATTGGGGGGGAAAAAATAAGAGGCAGTAATTATTATATTTTCCCTGAAGAATTAATATGAACCCATTTCCAGAAGTGGTTCCTTATAAAGGCAACCTTTAGGGGGTGGGTGTCAAACATACCAGCTCTGCATTTGTTCAGTTTGTGTGTTAAATCTGTGTCATGACTTTCTTCCAGATCAGACATGTCAAACTCGCGACGTCACGTGACGTAGCAAGACGTATCGCCGGCAATGGGGTGGGCACGGCTTCCAGATGATGCATCCGGCCCACGGGCCGGCAGTTTGACACCCCTGTTCTAGATGCTTGAGGTAGTGTCCATATCACTCTAATTTTTTCAAATTTGACTGAGAGAATGTGACTGGCCACAAGTCACTCAAGGATTAGCCACAGCTAATACAGCTTTATTCAATTACAAGCTCTTCTAAGTTCCTGGTTAAATGTATTTGATTGTTTCCTGGCTGTGGAGAAATCAAAGTTCCCCATTTCCACAGCATTGGAACTCCCAAGTTATTCAGAATCTGTTTTGTCTGGAAAAGCATTCAGTGTCGGTAGTACACGAATGACGTTGCTGGGAAAATGTTGATTAGTCTGAATGCGATAACCCTAAGCAAGGTTTCTCTAGTTATTTGACCTTGAGGAAGCTTAAAACAGGGAAAGCTAGATTTTCATAATTTCCGAAAATTTAGTATTGTGAAATGTTACTTTATAAGGAACCACTTCTAGAAATATTTGTCCTTCAGGGAAAATATAATCATTACTGCTTCCCCCTTTTCCCCCCAAATGTATCCTCTCAGTGTGTAAAGGTAGGGACATATTTTACCTGCCACTGACTTTCATCTGATTGGGTTGATGTTGTGTTTTTCTCCATTAATAGGAGATCCACATCATGAAAATTTATGAAATGCCAGCAAATAATTAGGAAAACTAGACTGCATCTAATTCAGAATTATGGAGAAAGAGCTGGCAATATTGGATTAATCACTGTGAGTAACCTGTACAGAATAAACGTGTTCATAGAGCATATTAAAACATGAGTAACTGAACCATGATTCACCTGGTTGTATGGGTTTAGATACATACTTAGTTATAAATTGATTCACCATCTAGAGATAGATGAAATTCTCACCTGGACATTTGTATATAATTATGAAATATTTCATATCTTCTGAATTTAAATATGTTTGAAATAATAAAAGATTGCTTGTTTTCTACTGTTTTCTGATAAATCGTTTTATTCTTACCTACATATCACATACCAGTAAATGCTTTTTTCCATGAAGGGCAAATGAAATTGTAAATACTAGATTAGCATTTCATCTAGTTGTCTGAAAGAGAAAACTGGATGTGAGAATGTTTTACCTATTTATACTGGAGTCCTGACAGCAAAATATATAGAAACCTATGGAGTGTAACTGCCTTTTACAGATTAAATTGGGGAAAGTCAGCTCCCCAGAGAAGGAAATATTTTTTTTTCCAAATTTTTATTTATAATACAATTAAAACAAAAATGGACATACGTGGCATTCCAGAGTAAATATTCCTAACAATTTGTTTCTCGTGATACAAAAACTTAATACATCATCCTTAACCTCTATATACACCTCATTCTTCTACATAATACAATTATATATACAATTATATGTACAATTATGTGTATGTTTCAATCCTATCGTTNTAGCATCAGATAGAGTATGCCTTTGTCATACTTCTGCGTTGTTATACCTAATAGGAAAATATTAAAATATTAAAAGGGTAGAAAAATATATTTCCTCAAAAGGATTTTAAAAGCAGAAACCAACCCTGCCCCCAAGTCTTCTCTGTCCCAAGTAGAGTACAAATGCAGATGTAAACCATCAGAAAGGCCCCAGCTAGGAGATCAAGAAGACAAAAGACACCTAAAATCTGTATAGCCCACCTGAGACAGGACATGGTAGGATTAACTCACAAAGGCCAAAGGGCACACCCAAACTCAGGTCAGAATATGTGACACAGGAAATACAAAGCCTAAAACAGGAACAGGAAACTATTCCAAACAAAAGGCTTCAGAGGTTATAAAAACCTACTTCCCACGTGTGCTGAGCCCTGTTTTCTCTCCTCTTTCCTGCCAGAACCATCTTTCGGTCTGGCTCTTCAATAAACTGCAACCTTCTTTCTAAAGCAGTCGCCATGTTGTTTATTTATCCCCAGCTTGGATGAACCAGGATGAAGACTTTTCTTTCAACAAAATAATCCTAGCTTTTCTAATTGGGACGTCATTCAGTTTGGTTTTCTGGTTGCACAGAACATTTTTTAAATGAAAAATGTGCATTCTTTGCAAACATTTTGGTTCTACTTATTGGAAGGATACTGACACCCCCTATTGGATACAAGTTGACATCACATTTTACAGGGTTTATTATTATTTTTTTGTTTTTTTTAATCCTATCTTTATTATTTTTATAAATAATTCAAGGGGGTGAATATATATATATAATACTCTTTCCTTCTATTATCCCCAATTTTAAGTGCTTTGTTTAGAAAATTTGCTTAACAGTAATAACAACCAGGGTAGGGAGCACGTTATTTGCATACATTTGTAAAATTCTAAAGAGAAGTTCAGATAGGCATCAAGATTCAAATCCAGATGACCACATAGACAAATTGGCTGTTTCCCATAGTAACATATAGTTTGTCAAAAAATATTTCATTACTTTTTTAAATTCTGTCTATCCACATTGAATACTTTCTTTTCCTTTTTTCCCTCAATTGTTTCAAATATAAATCCAACCACTGAGGTTGCCATAAAGGACTTGACTGACTGACTGAAATAACTTTTGTTTTAGTTGGGTAGTTTAGGAAGTATTTAAACTAAACGTTTAAGGGAATGCAAGGGAGGCTGAAGGAGGACCAAATAGATTATAGCACAAATTAATTTTAATCTTCCCATTTATTATGGTTAACCCTAGAGATTAAAGTATCTGAAAATCCAGGGTGTAGATTATGGATGGATTATGGTGCCAGCCTTTACTGATAGGGGATTTTTGAGGTCTCCTAGATATAGTTTCTTCCAAGTGTTCTCATATATACAAGTGATACTCCAAAAAATTAAAGTTAGTAGTTTTTGGCCTGCAAAGCATGAGAATGATGACACAAGGTGTTTGACAGATAAAATAATTTGCATTAATACTATAGTATCAGTTTCCATGATTTTAACAGTTTTAGGCTCCTAATCCGAATTGTGCCTGAATTTCCCAAGGAGCTAATAAACAGAAATTAAATTGAAATTGCTCCTATTCAAAAGATAGCTTTGGGAGAACTATTAGTTCTTATTGCTAGAAAACAGCACGATGTACCAACTAGCAAACCTGTCCAGCTCAGAAAGGCCGGCTATTAGACCAGCTCAGCACAGAAAAACTAGCTGAACGTAGAAGAGACCTCAGAGGAGCAACAGCTGGAGGCAATTGGGGTCAATTACAAAGATCGGCTGAGTACAGGAAGGCAGTCAAAATAGCAAGGCAGAGAGGATAGAGATAAATAAGGAGCAAATTAAGAAAAGGGATGAATTTTTAGGCAGAGAACAGAAAGCAAAAAGCAAATCCCTTGTTGAAGAGAAAGCAGCCCTTCCCTTTGTTAAATAGCCCTGTCCTAACATTAACTTTTGAGAAGACTCCTGCAAGTCCCTTGGACTGCAAGGCGATCAAACCGGTCAGTCCTAGAGAAGATCAACCCTGACTGCTCTTTAGAAGACCAGATCCTGAAATTGAAACTCAAGTACTTTGGCCACCTAATGAGAAGGAAGGACTCACTGGAGAAGAGCCCGATGCTGGGAAACATTGAGGGCAATAGAAGAAGGGGACGACAGAGAATGAGGTGGCTGGATGGAGTCACTGAAGCAGTAGGCGTGAGCTTAAATGGACTCCAGAAGATGGTAGAGGACAGGAAGGCCTGGAGGAACGTTGTCCATGGGGTCGCGATGGGTCGGACACGACTTTGCAACTAACAACAACAACATTAACTTTTAACTTCAATATAAACTGCAATTTTTTCATTAAAACCAAAGGGCATATTGCCATATACATTTATCTATACCTAAACAACAAGGCAGAAAAACAAGCACAAACAGGCAGAAAAAAAGGATAGAAAAAAATAGGCATAATTACCTAGAAACAAGGCTAAAGCACATCCACCAACCCACAAGAGGGATTTTCAAACAACAAACTCATGGAACAGGTGACTGATGATATTGTGGTATGCAATATATGTTCTATGTATGTGCTTATCCCCAAAGAACACCCAAACTATACATGCATTAGATATAAACTATGTAAACTACTGGAGGAAAAAGTAAGGAACTTAGAGGCAACTCTAGCCAAACCCCAACATACAAAAGAAAGCTCTACCCAAACCGAACCAATTAATGAACAAATAACTCCCAGAGGATTTGACCCTACTGATAAACCCTTAGAGGAAGACAAACGGAGGTATTTCACACATAGAAGGAAACGCAATACTCAAAGAAAGAAGCAGCATACAACTAACAAACCCCTTCTGCCCAATCCAACCCAACCAGAAACAGCCCCACTAAAACTGAGCAATTGATTTTTCCCCTTAGATAGAAACACACAGACCCACAACCTCCTCCTCAAAGAAAACATGCAGACGCCTAGCAAAGAAACAACCTCAAATATCCCTAAAAGAGTCACCTCAAATATCCCTAAAAAAGTCACATCAACAAACACACTAGAGA